GGATGGAAGGATAGGTGGATGGACGGATGGATGGAAGGATAGGTGGATGGACGGATGGATGGAAGGATAGGTGGATGACGAATGGGTGAATGGACGGGTGGACAGAAGGATGGAGGAGTGAATGGACACAGAGATGAAGGATGGATGATGGGACTTTCGCCGCTGCGGTCCAGGCCTGCGGATGCCGGCCCTGCCTCCTGCTTCCGCGGGCTCTGCCCTGCCTCTTCCCAGGGGCGGTAATGGGGGTTTTCTGATAAGGCTTTTTTTCTCCCTCTTAAACCTTCCTCAAAGTGCGTGGGGACTTTTAGGTGGAGTGTGCTTTGGGCCCCCTGAAGCTTCCGGTTCGCAGCTTACGTGCACCTGACATTTTTGCACGACATGAACCCTTTACAAACAACACGCTCAGCCTCTGGTGGAGGAAAAGATTCGTAACTGCTCACACCTGCCGAGCACGTCACCCTCACGCCGCACACTGAAGGAAAGCCTACCACATGTCATGGAGCTCGAAGTCCAGCAGGGAGGACAGCTGGGTGAGTGACAATGATCACCAAGAACAGGATGTCGCTGTGACAGACGTGAGCTTGGGGCCCATGGTGGGTGGTCAGGGAAGGCTTCCTGGAGGAAGTGCCATTCAAGCTGAGACCGAAAGGGAGAACGGGCAACTCTGGCCCAGCTCAGGGCTGCCTCACTTGGTGTGGTGAGCGGGGGAGGTCCTGGCGCTGCAGGGACTCAGCAGGACCAGGGCAGGGGTGCTGCTGCCCCGGGCGGGCTCAGACCCGCCAGCAGGTGTGAGCTCCGAGACACCTTAGACCTTCTCTGCCCATTGTTCTTTGTTCAGAGGCAGCTCAAGGTGCATTTTCTCCCTGATGCTGACCCATGTGGGCTCAGGTCGGAGAACCCTTTAGGGTCCGTGGCCGGGGATACCGCTCAGGAGCCCCGCCCAGCAGGACGTGCTCAGCCTGGCTTCTGCTTCCAGCCCCCGTGCGGGGAGCTGCGGGGCCCAGGCAGGTGGATGAGGCGAGGCCCGCACACTCACCCGAGACTGTTGGCGTAGGTCTGGCCCAGGACACAGTCGTCAGGGGGGGACAGCGGGTTGAACCAGAAGTTGGCAAAGCACTGGCCTGCGTCAGACTCTGAAGAGGGGGAGCGCTCAAATCCGTAGTCGCTGCAGGGAGCAAAGAACAGGGGTCCGGAGTCAGGCCGGGCGGCCACGGGGGCCAGCAAGGCGGGGGCCTCACAGAGAGGACACAGAGGCAAAGCCACACAGCCCTGTCTCAGGGGAGATGGTCTGAAAGCCCGCAGTCGTGTTCCGGGTGAGAGGGGAAGCCAAGGGGATGCTGGGGACTCACAAGAGCGCGCTGACCCCAGCCCGAGTGTCCTGGAGGGCTGCCTGGAGGTGGTGAGCCGAATGGCAAAGGAAGAGCAAGGACAGGCAGGGCACGCGAGGGGAGGGCCACTGCAGGGGGGACCGGACCCCTCAAGGCTGGTGCAGGGGGACCCAGGCCGAGGTGACTGAGACGTAAGGGTGAGCAGGCTGGCGAGGGGCAGAGCACGGCTGGGAGGCGAGCCGGTGGGCCAGAGGCCTCGTGGGCCAGGTTCTGGAACTGGGGCATTGTCCTGTGGGCGCCGCAGGAGGTTGTGAGCGGGGTAGGGGGAGCGGTCAGGGCTTTCAGCGGAGTCCCTGGACGGAGGAGAGGGGCTGGGTGGGCACAGCTTGTCCCCGATGGCTGCAGCTAGTCCCGGCTTCTCCCCCCACTGGAGGCGGCTTGCACATACGTCCAGGCATTCGTAACGCCCCTTCCTGGAGTGGAGGCGGGACAGAGTGACCCGGCTCTGACGCAGGGCGTAGGCGAAAGCGACGCGGGTGGCTCCGAGCCCAGGTCCCCGAGGCCCGCGCTCACCAGAGGAAGTCCGAGGCTCGGCACTCGCACACGTGCGTCCGCAGCGCCGACGTGAAGCTCCGGCCCTTGGTGCACCAGGACGCGGGCTTCCTCTTCCGGAAGCTTCTCTGCTGGCCCATGAGACAGCGGTCGCCCTGCGGTGGCAGCATCAGGTGGGCGGCTGGGGGCGGGTTTGTCCCCTCTCACCGAGGCCCAGGATGGGGAGTGGCCTGCCTGAGGTTGGGCTGGGGCAGCAACCCCCCAATCCGACCCCACAAGTGTCACTGAGCGCCATCTGGGCCTGGGAGGTCACGCGGCGGCTGGAAGCAGGGCCCAAGGGTGCCAGGCCCTGGGCAGGAGCTGGATGGGCCACAACCTTGAGGGCTCGTGTGGGCGCACAGTAGGTCCTCAGCCTATGGTGAGAACAGCCCCCACACCCTGGTACTGGGGCAGCGGCAGGGCAGGGTCCCCAGCACCTCCGGAGCCCCCTGCAATCCCGACCCCATGCCACCTGTGGGGCACAGCCTGGCCCCCACTGCGGCGGGAGGCCATCACCGGCCTTAGCTCTCCCCCTGAGCGAGAATGTTACTCCCCCTGAGCGAGAATGTTACTCATTTCGCTGCAGGAACATTTGTGTGTTGAGATTATGGGGTGGGGGCTGCCCCGGACCCCACTGGAGTGTCAGGTCACATATGACACATGCGCCCGTGCTACGTTCCTACAATCCGAACAATCCCGGACCTGGGCACATGGCTGGGCTGGGGCCTGGCGACTTGTGTCCCCTGAGAGTGACTGAGCCCAGAGCAGCCCACGTGCTGAGAAGGGGCCAGAAAGCCCCAGGAGGTGGGTTCTGGGAGGACTTCTGGGGGGGAGGGGAGGGGCTCCCGCGGCCCCCCGGGCAGGGCCTGAGGCGGAGGTGGGCCTGCCCGCGCCCACCTGCAGGTCGGTGAGGTCCCAGGAGCTGTAGTCCTCCTCGCCACACGGCCTGGAGAACGAGGGCCGGAAGTCCACCTTCACCAGCTCCCAGTCCGAGCGGAAGCTGATGTGGCCGAAGATGCTGGGAGGGTGGGGGTGGGGGGAACTGCCTTATTCGGGCCCCGTCCTGCGGCGCAGACCGCCTTCCCTCTGGCCTCGTCCCCATCTGCACTGTGGGCCCAGTGACACGGCTGCTGCCCCGCTGGGCCCCCCTGGGCCCAAACGGCCACTGGCTACGGCCTCGAGCCCACCTCCCAGGCCCGGGCTGCGGGGCTGGGCTCACGGCCTGGCTCTGCCCCGCACTGGCCTGTCTGCATCTCGGGTCCTCACTGTGCGACCCGCCAGAGTCCTTTACAGGAGCCAGAGCTGATAATAACAACAGCCAGCCCGAGGGGGCGGAAAGGGCAGAGGCCCAGGGCCAGCTCTTGAGTCTTGGTTCCTTCCCTCAACAGACAGTTGATCTGGGCAGGTCATCACTGTCCTTGGACATGGACACAGTGGCCCTTCCCAGTGGCTGGGGTGATAGAGCACACTGGGCAGCAGAGACGAGGCAGGTGTGGAGGCGAGGTGGGAGTGAGGATGGGGAGGGGGTCGGGGGTCGGAGCAGCCAGGGCCCTGGGCGGGCCCCCCACAGCCCGCCTCTGCGGTCACTCACGTCATGACCAGCGTCTCCTCCCCCGGCTCGCTCAGCAGCCCGTCCACAAACACGGAGGTGCTGGTGAAGTTGTGTGTGCTCCAGGTGAGGCCCTCGTCCACACTGAACCTGCCAGGAGAAGGGGTGTGGCCATGCGCAGGGCAGGCGGGAACGCTGCCCGTGTCCAGGACTGGCCGCCCCACCGGCCCCAGCCCCGCCTGTGCCCAGGGACCGGTGCCATCCAGCTGAGGCGGCTGGGAGAACACGGAGGGGTGAGCAGTCGCTGTCCCCAGGTCCAGCCCAGCATCCTGGCCACAACGGGACCCCTACTTCACTCTCTCCTGGAACGTCACAGCGGCCACCTGCCAGCACCGAGTGGCATCCACGGCTGCTTAGCAACACCACAGCCAGAAGGTCCTGGGTGTGCTGTCTGGGTGCCCGGACTGCAGAGTCATCAGGGCCTTGAGCACACCCAGTTCAGCCCCGCCCGATGCCTGAGCCGGCCCAGGGTTTGCCAGGCCCGCGACAGCACTTTACTGCCTTCCAGTGCGGCATGTGGCAGTGCTGCCAGCTAGCAGTGCAAAAAGCTCCTTTTCAGTCTAAAGCGATACTGGCTTCCTCGCAGCTCACCCCACTCTGCCTTCTGGATCCAGAGTTCACAGCTGCCTACCCTTCCTCCCTATGGCTCTTCAATGTCCGAAGGTGACGCCAAACTCACTCTCTCCTGGGCACATGCTGCTGGCTTCCTCGTCTGGCCCCACCTCCTCCACTTAACTAATTCCTGTTGATGCTTAAAAGTCACCTCTTCTGGGAAGCCCTCCTTGCTTCCGCAGACTGGGGCGGCGACCCCCTCCGGGCCCCACAATCCTCCCTCTGTCTCAGTCCAGCCACGCTGCTTGGTCATTTCCAGTTTCCTTGTCTCCCCACGACCAGCCCGAGCAATAGCTGGGGGCGGGTGGGCCCGGCCTGCCCCCACCCCCAGCCGCTGGGGCTGAGTGCTGGTGTCCTGGGCCCCACAGGGAGGCCGTCCGGGGACAGTTCTGGGGCCCCCGGTGGAGAGAAAGGGCCCTGCCCGCCACACCCTGGTGCTGGGCCCCGACGTTACTTGAGGATCTTCAAGGGGATGGAGGTGTCCTTGATGGCCACGATGACTCCGCCGTGGTCCAGGTAGAGGACGTGGTGCTCCTCCTCAAACACCTGGGGGGGAGCGGGGTGCCCTGAGACGGGTCGGAGGTCGTTCAGGGCTGCGGCCCACTCACGGGGGCGGAGCTGTCCACACGCAGGCTGGGGGCCCGGGCAGAGGCCGGCTCCCCGAGCCAGGGCTGCTCTGAGGGCTCCCGCGTCCCCGGGCCACCCCGCGCACTCTCACACCACCCGGGCTCAGTTCCCGGGGATGACCGGGTGACAAATGGAGCTTTCTAGACAAGTGAGGTGACACAGGAAACTGCAAAGGAGCTGCACGGGGCTCTCTGCGTGGACACCATGCGCCCAAACGGCCGACACGCGGGCGCGGCGGAAAGCACGGAGTTTAGGGGAGACACACGCGCGTCACGCGTCAAGGCAAACCCCGTGTGACGTGAAGCCTCGGCTCAAGCGCCGCCTCCTCCAGGAAGCCCTCCCTGATGCCAGAGCACTCACTTGGGTTCTCCCCAGCTACGCCCGCGGTGCTCACTGCTGCTGACCCACCGCGGCGGCAGGGGACCAGAGCGGTGGGTATGCCCGGGCCCTGCGCCCTGACCATTAGCTCGGGAAGGTGCTTGGACAAGCGTGCTGCCCAAAGCTGCATTAATAGAGACAGAGCTCCCTGGACAAGGGAGGTGACGACCTGCAATTTTCAGGGTTCTGTGAAGAAGAAACTTTCACAATTCTCCTCCCCGCCTCCCCGCCCCCTGCCACCAACTGGTCTGGTGTTCCGGGTCCTCTCTGGGCGCTGGGATCCGGGGTACACCGGGTCTGGTGCCCAGGAGTTCGCAGCCCAGGGGCAGACCCCACACGGTGACTCGCCCCCTCGGACACCAGCAGTGAGGAGGTCCCATGGGCTGCCTCCTCTGCCTGCTCAGTCCAGGTTCTGGCACAGCAGGGGATGAATGACGTCCAATTCCAGTTAAACTCGAGACCTGAGTCCCTGGCCCCCAGGGAGGGGCCACTGCGTGAGGGTGTTTGGGTTCATCTTAGGAGATGCCAGGTGGGCAGGGGCCCGGAGCGGGGAGAGCTGTGTGTCCCGGGGCAGGAAATGCTTTCTGGAGCCGGGGTGCGGGGACAGGTGGAGGGGCTCAGGCCATGGGCCGCATGGGCACACGCGTCAGGCGACAGCGAGACACCCCGTGTCACGTTGGGGAGTGACGTGAACAGACCTCCCTCTTCTCCAGGGCTGGGCGGGTCCTCGCAGCCCGGCTGTTCCCGAGCAGGGTTTACCTCCGAGGCCCTGCCGCCCTCTTCCCTTGGGGACCGACGCCGCAGGAATATGGGGCACCTCTGGCCAACCCAGGGGACCCCCACAGACAGTTCTCCCCTCATTAGCCTGGGGTTCTGGAAGAGGGCTCAGGGTCTCCCAAACCTGGCCAGCGAGATGCACGGGCTTTGAACACCCGTCTCTGCGACCGTCTGTGTCCCGGCCAGCCCAAGGCAGCAGGGTGAGGGGCAGGTGGCCCCCGCCCCCGTTCCTCCCTTTCCAGCGCCCCCACACCCTGAGCTCAGGGCTCCTGGAACACCTGCTGGCCGCTGTTTTTTCTTTGACCACCCCAGGGAACTCACATTTGGAAAATGTTAGGCCGGTCAACAGCACACGCATCGAGTTCTCCTAGACACCGTTACGTCCTTGATAATCTGGCCCGAGCTCGCCTGGTCATCTTGTCCTGCCTGCCTTCGTCCTACCCTGTCGACTGCTCCCTGGTTCCCAAGTGAACCCCAAAACCCAGCTCCAGCAGCTCTCGCATGCACACACACGGGCGCCCCCCTCTCCTTCCCCAGATGCACAGGAGCCCCCCTCCACACATGCCCCCCATCACTTAGGAAGGGAACAAGGGTCCCAAGTCCCAGCCCCACACTCAGCACTTGAGCAGACATCTCCCCATTTAATTCTGACATCCCTCGGTTTGAAGTCTGAGCAGGGGGCCTGACAAGCGTGGCCAGTGTGAGTCCCTGGCCATTGGCTCCTACGGAATTGCAAGACCACCCGTTTCACCCCCGTCTGTGAATTCTAATGAGGGACGGGTCCTCCAATAAATGGACAGACGGTGACCTTTAAGCAAGTGTAGACAGGTCTCGCCAGTTCCGTGAAATAGAAATATTATAACACGATAAATCTCTTTTGCCCTTTTCAAAATTCCTTGTTTCCTGCATATTATCATAAAGCATCTGGGTCTTAAACCAAGGCTGCAGGTGATATGCCACTTTGGGGACTAACATGTCTGTCCAGAGGGCCGGCCAGGGGAGGGGCTGTCACTGGGGAACTCGGGCTGCAAAAGAGTGACCAGAACACGGAGCTGCTCATGGGGACGGGGGGAGAACTGCTCCCAGGGGAGGGCTCTTCCCAGAGCCTTCAAGCCGAAGCTGCCGCTGCCCGAAGCTGATGGAGCAGGCAAGGCCTTTTGTGCTGTTGCTGTTGGAAGGAGCCGTGAGCTCCCTGCGGGCACTGCACAGAGCCCCCTCGCGGGTCGAGCTGGCCGTGGGGACCCCCTCGCGGGTCCAGCCTGGCTGTGGGGGCCACTTGCTGCAAAACGGCCGCCTCTCGCCCCTCCTTCATTCCCCTGCTTCTGGCTTTGGGCCCCGGGCTACATCGGACTCCCACCCTGGGATGTCTCCCGGGGCCTCCCCCAGACTCGCCGGGGCCCCCAAAGCCCGCTCTTTCCTCATCCACGTCTCCGCTGTCCACCCGGCAGCCTCCCCTGCCAGAACTGCGAGGTCGTCAGTGCCCCCCACTTCCCGGCCTCGGGGCTCCCGGGGTGCTCAGCCCAAGGCCCCGCGTGCCCGTGTGGCCTCCTGCCAGGTGTCACCTCCACTCTCGTTCCTGGCATTTACTCCCTTTGCTAGGCATTCACAGCAACGTGTCTGACCACGTGGAGGTGTGCGTCAGGTCTGCGACCCCCCAGGAATGGCCATCAGAACGGCCAGTGGACTGGGCCAGCCTGGCCCGGCCTTGCTATTTAGACAGCGATGCAGTGTCTGCTTAAGGGCACTGTGTGTCCAGCTGCTCAGACTGGGACGATGAAGCAGCGTGACTCATCACCTCTTCATCACAGAACAGACACATCTCCCAGAAGTCCCCGTGGAACGGGCCCCTCCCTGCCACCTTACCTGCCGCCAGGTGTGCCCACAGTCTGACGTGATGTACATTTCCTCCTTATATTCCACCAGCTGTGAGCCCAGGTTCCCTGGGCCGGAAGAAAAGGGGCAAGGTTGCTCTTAGAGTCAGCCAGCTCCCCCCGCACCAAGGTCCGAGCCCAGACAAGTCCCCAGACAAGGAAGGGTACGTGTGCCTGGTCGACACCTCCCACCGCAAAGCCACCCAGCGTCGTCCGGTAACGGCAGGCCTGCTGTAACCACTCTGCTTGCGCCCTGGTCCTCGTACGTGCAGTGAAGGACTAACCTTGACCAAAGAAAGCCAGCCTTGGGTGGCTGCAGCCAGGCCCAGGTGCAGGCAGAGCTCGGCCCCTCAGGGACCCACAGGCGATGAGTGTGTTTCCAGAATAAGAAGTGTGGAGAGGATGCGGGCCAGGTGGGCCAGCCGGGGGTCATGGCAGCCCTGGGGCTTCCGTGGGGGCAGGACCCGAATGGGTTCGCATTTGGAGTGGCTTCTGGAGAGGCAGGTGCAGCGGACACCAGAAGTGGGTCCAGAGCAGCACGGGGCAGCTGGGCGAGTGGACGGGAAGGCACAGAGTAGGTGTTCATAAACTATCCGTTGAGCGGATCTTGGAGGATGGTGGGGTGGGCACCCGACTTTCACTTGGGCCCCTGTACCTGGGGTCACCAGCCTTGAGGGCCACTCTCCTGGGCTCAGACTTAATCCTGGGGGTGATGCCAAAGTGGGAGGAGCCCCGACCCAGTGTGCGAGCCAAGCCCCCTGACAGACGTGGAAACCGAGCCCAGCCGGGGTCCCACAGAAAGAACGGGGGTCCCCTCGGAGACCACGACTCCAGGAGACACGGTGGCTTCTGGAGCCGGGCAGCCTGCCCTAAACCGCCTCCTGGACAACGGTGGATTCCAAGGGGCTGGACCTGGCCGGCCTCTGCTGTGCCCCGGTGACCTTAGCAGGGACCAGGCAACCCCAGGAAGGTGGGGACCTGTGGTGAGGACACTGAAGCCAGTCTGGACTCTCACCTGGAGCCCCAGAGGCCCCACCTGGGCAACCTCTACGTCACCTGCTGTTTGAAGCTTTATTTACCCAACACTCTCAGGAGTATGTTATCCAGGGTCAAGTTTAGACATCACTGGAAAATTCCAAAGGGGGTGGATTGTCCTCAGATGGATGAGTCAATGTGAGCTCCAAGCAGAGCGGCAGAGAGTTTGTGTGCCTGGCTTTTCTGAGGTCTGACCAAGCGCCCGTGCATGCATGCATGCATCCTTCATTAGTTTATCTACTCATCCATCCATCCATCCATTATCCATCCATCTATCCATCCATCTATTATCCATCCATTATCCATCTATCCAACCATCCATATTATCCATCTCCACCCATCCATCCATCATCCATCCATCCATCATCCATCCATCCGTCCGTCCATCCATCCATCCATCCATTATCCTTCTATTATCCACTCATCCATTACCCATCCTTCCATTGTCCATCCATCTGTCCACTACCCGTCCACCCACGCATTGATCTCTTCGTCACCCCACCCCGTCGCCCATCCTGCACTGGCCCCAGCACGTGCCGAGTGCCTGCTCTCTGCCCAGCCTGTGCTATGCTGTGGGCAGTCGGCGCTGAGTCGACGTTGGCCCCTGCTCCCAGGGAGCCCCCGATCGAGCAGGGGGAGGGGCGCCTGGCAGTGGCACACGGGGCCAGGACATCTGGAAGCCCAGGACGCATGAGAGCACAGAAAGTGGACAATCGGGGAGCAATTCCTGCAGGAAGCAACCTCCGAGCCGCACCGCGAAAGATGAACGCCAGCCGGCCGAGGGCAAGAGAGAGGGGGCCGGGCGGAGCGCTCGGCCGGGCGACGGCATGGAAGTGGGAGCACCAGGACGAGGGGGGTCGCTCGGCGGAGGGGCTGCGGGGCGGGCCCTGGACTGGGGGCCCTTCCACGGGCCTGGCCAGCAAAAGGCTGGAGGGACGGCTGCCGAATGAGTGACGTGAGTGAGATGCGTGCATGAACGGCACGGGGGGGCGCGGAGGAAGGAAGGGGCACCCTCATCTGCCCGCCCTTCCAGACGCCAGCAGACGCGGGGGCAGGTGCGTCAGAGGCAGAAGCCGGGCATCGGACGCCACCGTGTCAGCAGACCGCGGCTGCGGGTTCGCGGTCTGTCATTTCAGCCACGCAGACGTCGGTCTTCGAGGCAACGCCATCTCTCTTCCTTGCTCCATCTACCGAGGCCGTCAGCCTGCTTGTCACCTAACGGGCACTGGGGAAACTGAGGGGACATTCACGGAGCGTGTCCCCAGGCTGTCGGAGTGGAAGGGTCCGCTGGTGCCCTCGTTTTACAAATGGGGAAACTGAGGCCCAGGACGCCGTGACTGAGAGACGTTTCCCTCTGCGTCCTCTCCGGGCTGTTCCGGTGCCTCCTGCCCCACAGCCCGGCTTCTCCGCCCACGTCTGTGCCCACAGGGCCCGGCATACAGCAGGTGCTCACGCAGCGCGCACTTCTTCTGCACCCTTCCTCGGCCTCCAGGTCACCCAGTGGCCAGAACAACAGAGCAAGTCGACAAGGCCAGAGCCACCCGCCCACACTTCCCAGAGGGGACCCGTGACCTGGGATCCTTGTGGCCTCCTCACTGAGACGCAGCCGGAGCCTAAGTGCAGGGACCGGCCCTCTGGAGGCCACCTGAGGTCCCAGCTCCAGGGGGCCGGTGACCCCGCAGAGCTGGTGGGACTCAGGTGGGCTCTCGTCCACGCTGGCCCCTGGGCCTCCCATCTGGGCGCCACCTGTGCTGACGGGCATGGAATGGTGGCCGGGTGGGGGGCTGGGCGGGGGGCTGGGGAGGCGCACCCCTCCCTGGGGCCCCCGAGGGCTTTCCTGGCATGGCGGTGGGGGGGAGGTACACCGAGTGCCCCAACAGGGTCCTCTCAAGATTTTTCCAGATGAACGACTCTGTCGAGGCCAGTGTCCTCCCCTCCGTGGGCGTCCAGAGGAGCAGCAAGAAGCCGGTCAGTGTGTGGGACGCTGATGTCCTGGGCCGAGTAAAGCGGGGCGGGTAAGGGCGGGGCTTGACAGCACCTGAGCACCGGCCACATGCCTGGAGTCGGGGCGGGGGCGCCCCACACGATTCAGAAAGAAGGGCAGCCTGTGGAAACACACCTGCCCGATGCCCTCTACCTGTCCCCTCACCAGCCTTACCACAGGGGCCTGTTCTCTCCTTTCACAGGTGAGAAACTGGGACTCACGGGGTCCAGTGAGATGCCCAAGGCACCGAAGCTGGGAGGTGGCCTGAACCTCCCGCCACCCGCCCCGGGATGGTGTGGGAAGCAAGTGCAGGGGAACGGGAAGGGGGCCGACCTCATGGAAGCAGCGGCCATCGCTCCCACCCGGCTCAGCCAGCTCAGCCGTCACACGGACTTCGGTCCCTGCTAAGCCTCCCAGCCCAGCGAGGTGAAGCGGGTCCCCGTTTGCTGGCTGCAGTGGTGCCCAAGGGTGCCCGGCTCCCCATCTCCCTTCCTGCTCCCAGCAGACACTCAGGGCTGGAGCAGAGGGTGTAAAAAGTTTACACACTAATTGGCCCACGCTGCACGGTGGCTGCGTCTTAGGAAAGCCGTGGCCCAATTAAAAAGCGGCAGAATGAAATAGAAACGTAGCACCCCGCCCTCCTGGAAACTGGCGGGGGGCGTGGGGCGTGGGAGGGAGGGGGGTCTGCAGGGCACGGTGCGACAGCTCCCTGGTCTCCGTGACTGACGCGTGATTAAGCGACGCACCTCCAGATTCTAGCAGCATTCTCGGGGGGCTAGAACACTCGTCCTGGGGTATCAAGGCCTTTGAGCCATGGAAACATTTAAAATTGTGCTTCTGCATTTTGGTTAAGAATTTGGGGATTCAGCCAATCCGGACAGTGCATTTTAAATACACCGTCGCCTTCAGACCTGATAAGCCAAGTCCGGAAGGCCAGGCTGCCCAGCGCAGGTGGGTCAGTCCGCCCGTGCACGGAACCCAACACGTGATGAGCTGCGCTGACATCGACGCCGGTGTGTAGCTTTTTCATGCACCGACGCACGTCCCAAGCAGCAGACACTGCCAAGGACCCCAGGAGCTCGGAAGAACGAGAGGAATCGCAGAAGCCAGAGGGGTCCGGTTCCATCTTCTCTGTTCTGGCAGCGCGACTCCCCGCGGCAAAGCCCGTCCTCCCAGGACAAGGCCCAAACGCCTGACGGCCAGGGTGTCCTGGGGCCAGAAGCCCAGCAGTGCTGACGGTCCGCACCGGCCCCGGCCTCTGCGTGGGCTCTGGTTTGGTCATCCTGCCTGTGCACGTTCCCACCTCGGCCTAGAAGGCCATCCCTGCCATCTCGACATGGCCATTCACTCGTCCGTTCCTTCATCCATTCGCTCATTTGTAAGCGGCCTCTGGAGCCCATCCTGGGCCAGGCTGTCCTCAATGCTGGGACTTGGTGAAGGGTCGGACGTGGCGTCCGGCTCTGGGTCTGGGGCTCACATCCACCCCTCCGTGTTGCAGATGGTGCTGGGGCAGAGGGTGGGGTCCTGGGTTCAGAAAGCTGTGTGCCCTGGCCCATGCCTCAACCGTCCTTGCTCTGTGACGGGCAAGAGTCCCAATTTCTCTGTCTCTTACGCCATCTGCAAAGTGGGCCTGCGAAGCCTCGCCCAGCCCTTCCACACGCCGGCCAAGTGGCCTGGGACGGGCAGTCCTGCCCCTGGGGGCCTCGGTTTCTGCACATTTTCAAGGGGCACAGTAGCCCCCCCATCCAAGAGCTGGGGCTCTGAGGGGCTGAGAGGCCCTCTCAGGCTTGTCGCCATGTTCCAGAATCCAGTGTCTGGCGGGGAGAAGGGGGCGGCACGTGACCACCACGGAAACGGCGAGCGTCACCAGGGCCTCCCTTCCTGCTCACCAGCGCTGCCCGGGCTCCTCCCCTGTGCCGGGGCCCAGCGCCGGGCACAGGAGGGGCTCGGGACGCCCAAGACCAAGGGGAAAGTCAGACGCCAGCCGCTGCCTGGCCATACGCTTTTAAAAAATACTTTTCATTTTGAACGATTCTCCTAACTCCAGTAAACCTTATTTTAAGGTTTTATTGGATCAGCACATACTTACTGATCCCGAAGGAGGTTCCCGTTTAACGAGGTAGACAGACACAGTCACGACTCACACTCTGCTTCTTTCCCTCTCCAGGGACCCGTGAGCGTCAGCCTCAACGCGAAGCATCCCCTGCCCGCCCGTCCAGCTCTTTATTTATTCACTATTTTGTTATTCACCCTTCCATCCGGCTATCTGTTCTTTCAACTATCCAACTACCCTTTCACCCATCTTCCCAACGTTGACTCCGTCCTCCATCCTTCAATCAGTCATCCATCATCCATCCATCCACCCATCCATCCATTATCCATCCATCCACCATCCACCCATCCATCCGCCATCTACCCATCTATTCACCATCCATCCATACATCCATCTACCATCCATCCATCTATCCATCGTCCATCCATCATCCACCATCCACGCATCCATCCATCCACCATCCACCCATCCATCCGCCATTTACCCATCTATTCACCATCCATCCATCCATCCATCATCCACCATCCATGAACCATCCTATGTGGCCAACATGTATCATGCGCCCAGGGTTTTCCATGAGAGCTGAGCTTCCTGGAGTTGTCACTGTCCCCCAGCGTACACACCATGACCCAGGCCCACGGCCACCAAGTTTTACCCTTGAGAACACAGCTCCCTCATGCAGTGGGGGCTCCTGCCATCCAGACGCAATGGCAGCCTCCTACCTGCGCCCATGATGAGGCCTGGGGCGTTGTCCTTGGTGTGCACGGTGCCCGATACGTAGGGGTTGTCTGCCCAGCGCAGGTGCAGGTGGAGGTGGCAGTCCGGCTGCAAGGGGGAGAAAGGGACCCACGGTCAGTACAGCGGTGGGACAGTGTCCCTGTGAAACGCAGGACTGAGGCCAAATCCACCCCTGTGGCTTTTGGGGTGGGAAGGCAAGGCGAGGAGTAGTGGACGGAAGGTGGGAAGCAGCTCTGGGGCTGACCACTAGGTGAAGGCCATCAGGTCCGGGTGAGGTGACTCTGCTCGTGGATGAGGCCAGTCGGCTTCTCCAAGAGAGACTCTCCTAGCATGGGTGCTGGAGGGGTGGGTCTCCCAACATGCAGTGCTGGGCCATAGAACATGACTCCTGTAGCCGGTATGGGCCACCCCCACATCCACCAATCCATCTATCCATCCACCTACCCACCATCCATCCATCCATCCATCATCCATTCATCATCCACCATCCATCATCCATCCATCCATCCATCCATCATCCATCCATCCACCCACCCACCCATCCATCCACCATCCATCATCCATCCGTCCACCATCCATCATCCATCCACTCATCATCCATCATCCATCATCTATCCATCATCCATCCATCCACCCACCCACCCATCCATCCACCATCCATCATCCATCCGTCCACCATCCATCATCCATCCACTCATCATCCATCATCCATCATCTATCCATCATCCATCCATCCACCCACCCACCCATCCATCCACCATCCATCATCCATCCGTCCACCATCCATCATCCATCCACTCATCATCCATCATCCATCATCTATCCATCATCCATCCATCCACCCACCCACCCATCCATCCACCATCCATCATCCATCCGTCCACCATCCATCATCCATCCACTCATCATCCATCATCCACCATCTATCCATCATCCATCCATCCATCCATCCATCCATCCATCCATCTAGAACCTTAACTAGGGGCCTTGTGTGTGACCACATTAGCCTGGGCATCAGGGCACAGCCATGGGACACCGTTACCTGTGCTGGAATCTCTCCAGCCCGGGGTGTGGGCAGGGTGGCGTCATGGAGAAGGTGGGGTTTTGAATGCTCACACCCTGTCTTAATGCCGTGTGACTCTAGGAAAAACGCTTAGTGCCTCTGTGTCTGTTTCTTTCTCTGTGAAATGGGGCAATATCCTCTACTTTGCAGGGTTACTGGATAGCAAGGGACACCGTTACCTGTGCTGGAATCTCTCCAGCCCGGGGTGTGGGCAGGGTGGCGTCATGGAGAAGGTGGGGTTTTGAATGCTCACACCCTGTCTTAATGCCGTGTGACTCTAGGAAAAACGCTTAGTGCCTCTGTGTCTGTTTCTTTCTCTGTGAAATGGGGCAATATCCTCTACTTTGCAGGGTTACTGGATTAACATAGCACAGCTTCTGGAGAGAAAGTAGGGGTCCAGCCCCCCCGGACGGGGTTCTGCCTAATTTGCTTACTGATAAAAAAAAGTACTAACTGCCTTGGCACTGGTCTCTTTTTTCTGAAAAAATCCCCCGTTCAGAGAAGCGAGGCCATTCCAGCTCCGTCACGGCTGCTACTCCCCCTGCCCAAAGCCGAGCAGCAGCTTCTCTCCTCAGTGGGGGCTTTTATAGCACTTTCATCGGGTCCGTGGACTGAGTGCATTTAGAAGGATTATCCTAAGTTAAAAATGAAGCTGTTTCGTAAACTGGAGGTTGATCTGGGCCCGACGGCACCAGGGCCCGACGCAGCTGGCAACGGGCTTTCCTGCCCGCCCTGTGTGACGGTCACAGCACATCCTGAATGACCCTGCAGGGGACTTACGGAGACAGGGAGCAGAAGGGTGGTTTCCGGGGGCTGGCGGCGGGGCGCGGCTGATGGACGAAGGGGACAGGGTTTCTCTTCGGGGTGAGGAAAATGCCCTAAGTGGACCGAGGTGGCGGCCGCACAGCTCTGCGGCTGCACGAACCCCACTGAACTGCACACTTTAAACGGGGGGATCTTAGGATGAGTTACACCCCACGAAAGCCGTGGGAACCAAAACAGAAATAAAAGGTGGCCGATTCAGCTGACGCGGTGACGCATCAGACGCGGTGACGCTTCCGCATCAGACGCCGTGGGCCGAAGACCCCCCCAGGGCATCCTAGGGAGCCCATGCTGACGACCTTGGGCCCTGGGCGGGAGCCTGGCCCCGAGTCACCCGGAATGCCAGGATCGAACGGGACAAACCCGCCCCTCTGTCCCCCGTGGGATGATAAGACGTCGCTCCTTCTGCACTTCTCCTGATTGAAAAGCTGGCTGGGGAGCTGATTCCTTCGGTGAGACAATTCGGTCGTCTCCCCGGCCTGCCCGGTGACAGACACGAATGGGGAGGGCTGTCCAGGGCAGGGAGAGCCCTGGCACCTCCGAGGCAGGGCCAGCTCCAGCTGCGGAAGGCAGCTCTAAGTCTGGAGGAAGAGGAGTCCACCAGGAATCTGGCCCTTGAGCCCCCACTGGCAGGCTCCTGGGTGGCGGCTGGTGGCACGGGTCCGCCTTGGCGCCTGAGGTTTCTGGGCAGGACAGGCGGGGCCTGGAGTGGCCCGAGCTCCTGGGCTGGTGTCCTTGGGCTACAATCAGCCTTTCCCCTGTCCCCTGATGCCCCGTGAACGTAATGTCACTGACCGCGTGTGCAGTGAGCAGAGCAAGTCTGAAGCGCTGCCTCCCAGAACCGGCTGCTCCCCGTCCCCAGCCCACTGGCGTCTGCCTTGGCTGCCGGGCACCTGCTCGGGCGGCCTGCGGTCAGTTACGGCCCACGGGACACTGGCAGGTGCAGGCAGAGCCCTGGTCCCCTCTGGTGCCATGGAGGGCCACACAGATGTCCCAGCTGGTCCCTGAGCCCTGGGGGTTCCCTGCTGGACCTTACAAAGCTCCTCCCAGCCGAGTCCGTGCCAAGCAGGTGAAGAGGAGGGTGGGCCAGGCAGACCCGGAGGGACTCTCTGCAGGTGGCACGGGACCGCGAGCATCTGGTGCCAGGGCTGCCTATCAGAGGTGGGGGGTCCTCTGGGGCACACGGAGGAGGGTGGGAGACCCCAGAAGTAGGCTGATGCCATGGGAGTCAGTGCTGAATGCCCCAGTTCTGAGGCAGAGGGCCTGGGTACCTGCAGGGCTGGGTGGGAGTTACGGGGGCCAAACAGGGGCCATGCTGACCCAAGCCCCCCACTCAGCCCCTTGGCATGCAGGAGCGGCTGGTGCACTAAAGAAGTGTCCCCCCCAGATCACGAGAGACTCGGACGGATGGAGGCCACACTCCCTGCCTGCGTGAGCAAGGGGACCCGCCTGCCCAGACACCCCACTTCCTGACTCAGCCTCTGCCGGAGAAGTCACTGTAGGCTGCGAAACGAATGGGCTTTCATTCTGAGCAAGACGTAAACAGCTTCAAAAGCACCGTCCAGGTGCGGTCGACCATCTAACACACATCTGGCCTCACTACTCGCTGTTTAAAAAGGTCCCATCCTTCCCGAATTACCGGGCAGAGAGCCAGCCCAGGGAGATAAATAATCGTGAGCCCGAGATAGGGGAAAATAGAAAACAGAGACATCACACACGGGTCAGGATCCCGGCTACGACTTTTTAACACGCAGTTAAGCTGACGGATCGCAGAGAAAAATGCCCGACTTGTCATTTCTGGGCACCTTACCTCTCTTCATAATTCGTCTTTTTCCAAGTGTCCTGCAATTAGCAGGAAGCCCTATTATGATCAGAAACAGACCCTCGAGTGTAGTCCGGCCTGCTCATCCTGGGGTGGGGGCGGGGTGGGTGGCTGGGTGAAGGACAGAGGCAGAGAAGGAACCTACCTGGTGGCCAGGGCCTCCCCTGCCACCCGGACCGCGCATAAATCCCTTTGATTTATGCCTTTCGTGGGGTTCGCAAGGCCTTTGTTCTGTCTTTCCTCTGTGCGCCGAGTCCCCGCTGCTGCCCGCCTGAGGCCACTCTCCACGCTCTGCTCCCGCTTTGATTACTTTAAGGCCGGGACATAAATCTCCCGAAGGTCATCTCCTCACCGAGCTCATCATCATCGCAGACAAGAATCTATTCTTAGCAAAAACTCGCTTTGACAGATTAATATGGCTTCACTTTGCCGAGGATGATGCAAAAATTAGCCCTTTCACAGCAGTTCTGTCCTCGGAGGGTTTTTGCGAGCAGCAGGTAACGCAGGTGTTGTTATTCTCTGGTATCAGCGGGAGGGGGGCTCATGCAGAGGCGAGTGGCGGCCCCTGGCTGGGGAGGGTCGGCTCAGGCCTCGCTCAGAGCTTAAGGGGACTCTGTCATAGAGCCCCACCTGGTGTCATAGAGCCCTAGCTGGTGTCAGTCTTCCCTGTTTGGAAGAAGGAGCTGATTCTACCCTGATCAGCTCCACACAATGGGCCCTGGGCCCTATAAAACAGGCGCTGTTATTCTACTTATAGAGAGGCAAGTGGTGGGTGGGTTCGGGCACCCCCAGAGCACATTGCTGCCTGTGAGGGGCTTCAGGCCAGAGAGGAACAGACAGAGAGGCACAGGTGCCCAGCAAAGGATTCCCAGTGGGGCGGCCTGCACCCCTATTCGTGTGGAAGGGCACCACTGGGTAGCAGGGCCAGTCTGGAGCTTGTGACATTAGTCCAGCCCCCCACTGCACAGGCAGAGTGCCCTTCCTGTTCCGGGAGGATGTAAGAAATGTCACCTGGGCAGGCTTGTCACGTCCCTGCTGCCCTCTGCTCCCACCCTGAGATGGGGCCTGGGCTGGTCCCGGGGAGGGTGCCGGACATGGCGAGCAGAACCCCGACGTTGGCCACTGCAGACGTGTGAGCAGTGCCCGGGTGTCCCAGCACAGGCCTGTTATTTGGGGGTGCTTTGTTATCCAGCAATGTGGTGGCCGGAGCTAACTGATACCCTTCCCGCTCTCACCACCAGCTAAGTCTCCTGTACAGCTAGGGGTTTCCCGTGACCCTCCCCACCGTGCCGAGACCTCGGGCTTCCTGTCCATCAGATGACCCTGCATGGACCTCACCGTCTGTGCCTTTCGAGTCCTTGGCCCCTCGCCACAGGGCAGGGACGCGAGCGGAGACACTCACAGGCTTGCAGTTGGTCGGCTTCCCGTTCATGTCCTCGCTGGGCGGCCTCAGGTGACCCCAGTCACGGCCCTTGTTGTAGGTTATAAGCGTCACCACCTTCCCATCGACTTTGCGGTTTGCCAAGAAGACGCCTTTCACCCCGCGGACCTGGGACAGAAACGTGAGAAGGACCGTGAAGCCCTGTCCGTGCGTCCTCTGTGCCAGCCCTGAGCCGAGAGCCCTGAGCCCACGGCCCACTGCACCCCGCCACCGTCCCCAGAGCCGAGGCTGACTCCACACCCCGGAGGCGAGGGACCCAGGGGGACGAAGGTCCACGACTGCCGAGCTTTGACCCGAAGGCGCTTCCGTCTGACCCCAAACTGGGCGCTTCTCAGGACACTGAGCGGTCTGTGCTTCCAGACGCAGACGCCGGCTGTGAGGCAGCGAGCCCAGCCCTGGTCCCCGGCACGGCCATCCACACGGCCGCCCCATCTTTGGGCCGAGCCCTCCCGGGGGACACACAGGACCCTGACCAGTAAAATCGCCTCTGGCCTTTCCTCCAAGATCCCCTCAACTCAAGCCTGGAGGAAAATGCTAAGTGGCAAAGACAGGGCTCCCCGCTCACCCCGCCTGCCCTGGATGGGGTTCATCCTGCCTTCAGCACTGCGGGTCAGCCCTGGCCGCTTCCGCAGGCCCCCCGGGGGGCCACAGCAGTGACCCAGCCCCAGCCCCGGCCGGTTACTGAAGGCCGCGTGTCAGTGCTTCTCCACAGGGACGACCCTTTCCTGCCAGGCCCCTGGGCGTGGCGACCTCAGACGCGGCTGCCGGGTCCCACCAGTGCGGGGGCGTCCCTCGGAGGCTTCCGGGCGCCCGCAGCGGTGGTCGCCCCCTACGTGCGGCATGTCACTATGTCCCCCAATGAACCTGAGAAGACGGAGGGCGGCTCGGCCGGGCAGGGGACGTCCCGGAGCCCATGGCCAGGGGCGTACGGAGGGCCAACAGTAACACACAGTGCGTGGCGCCTCTTCTGCGGTGGCAAAGGGGAGCGTGACGGGGGCGGCTCGTGAAATCCTGCGGCTCCGGGACGTGGTACTTTTCCCGTCGTCGATCGAGGCTGCCCGCCGAGCGCCCCCCACACAGCGAGGTCGTCGCTGGCGATGCCGGGCCCAATGGGCAGAGGAGCGGGCGGGTCTGAGGTTGCCGTGGCTGCCGGACAGGTTAACACGGACCGGGGGGCTTTGACGACACCCACTCATTGTGTGACCGTCCTGGAGGTCGGGGGCCTGGCTCAGCCTCACTGGGATGACACCCAGGCGTCCGCAGGCCCCGTTCTTTCTGGACAGCTTGCCGAGGTGCCCACGTGCGGGGCTCAGGGCCCGTCCTCCGTCCCGCAGCCGGCGGCGCTGCAGCTCTCGGCCAGCATCCTCCGTAAGTGCCCGCGTCCCTCTGTCCCCTCTCCCACCCCCTTCCCTGTGGTTACAGTGGCCCCGTCGGATAACCCCGGTGACCCTCCGATGTCCCCTCGCTTTGCGGTCTTTGGGCCTGAGTTGCTGTTCCTGGCTCCTCAGCTGGTTAACTTCTGATAGGCTTTGACTCAGCCTGCACCTCCTCCTCCGGGAAGCACGCCCTGACTGCCACTGCAGCCCGGCCAATCACCCCTCGCTACTCAGCCCGCCAGGCTCTGGAACACCGTGTCGGAACCATTTGGACGGTCTTCCTGCAGAGGCCGGGGCCCGGAGCCTGGCGTGCGGTACAGCGTGGCAGACACCTGCGCACGGAACGGCCGGGGCCACGTCCTGGGCACCCTTCCCATGCCCGCCTCCCTCGCCCCCTTCCTCCCAGCTGGCCTTGTGCAGGAGCGGTGACGACACCTTCCAGAGACAGGTGTGCGATGTGTCTGGTGGCCTCCTTGGAGGTTCTGCAGAGAGGGGCTGCCGCAGGCAGGACGAGGCCACCTGCGTGTGGCCTTTGGTGAATGGCAGTGAGCCCGGGCTGGGTTCATCTGCACTGTCCAGCTCGGGAAGTGCCCCTGACAGGTGGCTTCACTGTGAACAAGCGATGACGGTCACTCCTTTGGGAGAACGTCGCCCTGCTGTGCTGACATCGAGAGACGACACACCCCACCATCTGCCCTGGCTCTGCTGCCACCCTGGGGACACCGTCCCCAGCCTCGCAGGGGTGGCAGACACGGTGTGCCCTTGAGGAGCCTGGCAGGCCCATCATCCAGCACTTGGAACCAAAACACGCTGCGCCCATTAGTCCACTGGCGGGTGTCCTGGGGGCTCCTCACGGGCAGGGCGTAAGGGAGAAGCTCGAAGGCGAATGACCAAGCAAGGCGGAGCCGGCCAGCGGCATGGGGCCGGACTCGGGGCCGGCGGACGCGGCTGGTTCTGCCTTCCCGCCTGCTTCCGGCCCTGCCTTTTCTGAGGCTCAGGTTCCTTAACTGCAAATGAGCTGAGGGACCCCCTCCCACCAGCTCTGGTGGGGACGAGAACAGAGGAGGTGACCGAGAAAGGCTTGGTCCAGGCCGAGCCACTGACTGATGTTGGTGGCACCCCCAAAACAGAAGGGAGCTGGGGATGGGCGTTGTCATCGGCGGAGAGAGCCCGCCTGCGAGCCAGGAGCCCCTGTTGTCACGTGACGAGAGCCAGCCAGAGGCTCCCATGTAGGACAGAGGAGGTCGGGATCCCAGGGAGGGCACAGGGAGGAGAGGCTCCCAGCGGAGCAGGACCCCCAGCGGGGTGGCCTCAGGCTCCCTACTGGGAGAGGGGAGAGGAAGCGGGGAGGGGCTGAGGGGCGAGGGAGATACAGACACCAGATACTGAGGTGAGGGGCGAGGAGGCCGGGGAGGGGCAGAAAATGGGGGGCCGGCGATGGAGCGGGGCTCACAGCCCTTTTCCTCTGGCCAAACCTGGTCTCGGCCTGGTCTTGTGCAGGCCAAGTGAGCCAGTGGTGGCTTTGTAGGGGACGCTTATGGTCTAAGCCATGACAGGAACCACTAACACCGAACCCCAACTCAGCCAAAGGTGTCTCCCCCAGATAACCTCATTCTTCTCACTCACAGGTCTGTATAAAAAACTTGTGCTTCACTATCGTATTTTGAAATTTGTCACAAAAAGCATGTGTTCTCTCGCTCTGAAAGTGTCTACGTAGTGTCCCGCAAAGCCAAAATGCTTGGCCCTTTATAGAAATGCTTGCAGGGCTGAGGGAAGGGGGCAGAGGGCAGGGCAAGCGCAGGGGTAGGGCCTGGTCCCGGCACCCTGGGGGGTCCCCGTTGCCCCCTGCCCCGCACGCCCACCTCCAGGATGTCGATGACCACGTCCTCCTCGGCCTGACGGGAGCTGCGGACACCCTCCAGCACCAGTGAGTAGCGCTCGCCCCGCGGGCCGGACTGGTACAGGTTGTAGGTGTCCGTCTGGTGCCACTCCTGCACGGCCACGAACACCTGGCTCTCGTCTGTGCTGATGATCTGCAGATCCTGGGGGGCGGGGTGGGGACAGCGCGGGGTCAGAGGCGGGCTGGGGGGCGGCGGCCGGCCTCAGTCCCTGGGGGGCGGCGGGCTCTCCAGGAGTCGGGCAGACCTAGATGTCCACCCTGGCTCTGCCCTCTTGGCTCTTTGGCCGTGGACAATCCCTTTACCTCTCTGTGCCTCCATTTTCCCACCTCCAGAAATGGGGTGACGGTGTGCCCCTCCATAGGGGGCTGCAGAGGGGACCGCCTGGGCACAGGGTATGACACAGCGAGGGCCCCTCCTCCCGGCCCCACGTCAGGCTCTGCCCATCTGTCCCTGTGTGAGGAGGAGGGCTTCCTCCTCCGTGCACCCCCAGACTCAGAATGCACCCCCGATGCGTTCTGAGGCGGGGGTGTGTCTTCTCCCTGAACCTTGTCCGCATTCCTCCTGAGGGTCCAGCAAGCCATCTGCTGCTCATCCACTGGGCACGTACCCCTGAGACGCCTACTGTGTGCCAGGCACTGTTCTAGGCGCTCGGGCCCAGCAGGGAGGCGTGCACGGCCTCTGTCCTTGGGAGCACCCACTGGGTCACGTCCAGGGATGCCATCGCCACCTGCAGTGCAAGCTGCCTATCCCCAGCTCCTCCGTGCCTGCCCGCGCTGGGACCTGGGTCACAGCTATGGCTGTTCCCACCCTCCACACCCAGCAAGGCCCCAGGGCAGTCCCCAGCAGACAGCGGCAGCACAGGGCACCGTGGGAGCCGAGGACAGGCCCCTGGCCCAGCAGGGGGGTGGAGGGCCGCCTGAGGAGGTGGCAGCCAGGGCCAAGGCTCCCAGCCGCGCGTCCCCGCTCCGAGCAGGAGGCTGGCTGCTGTGAGTGGACTCGGCCGTCATCTGGGGGTTCAGCTCCAGATTTGTGATTCGGAAGCAAAACAAGACCCGGGCACGTCAACGAGAAATGGAAACACAGGGCCAACCGCGGTCTCGTTTTCCTGCTCTGCCCCAGCCAGCTCCAGAGGCCGCGTGGGCCGTGGAAAGACCTCTGAATGCACCCGCTTCAAGGCCATCACGAGCCTTTATCCTCCAGCGCCCATCCCTTTGCCGTCTATCGCTCCGAAACTCTGATCGCCTTTCCGGTGACAGAGCGGCCAAGACACGGGAGCCGAAGACGGAGGGCGGAGGGCGGAGGAGGGCGGTGCTGGTCAGCACCTGCAGGGGCGCCCCCGCGCCCCGCTACCACCCCACGGCTGGGGCGGCTTTGGGATGCACGCCCCGTTACGTTTTCTCATCCGATGTTAGGGCATTAGGGAAAGTAGTTTTCTCTCTCTGCCTGTGCAGAGCGCAGGCTGGTGGCCGCCCCTTCCCCTCCTGCCTGGCCCGGCCCCTGGGCTGTGAGCCCAAAAGAAGGGGCCTTGCGGAAAAAGGGTGCTCCGGTGTGAAGCTATGCGCCTTGGCCAGGGAGGACTCTAGCGGCCAAACTGCAGTGTCCATGTTGCTGCCTCAGTGGGGAAGGGCGCTCCATGGGCCGGCGCCATGGTGGTCCTGAGCGCAGGGTGTGCCCGGCCCCGAGGGCACAGTAAGCATTCAACAGTTACTGCTACTGCACTAATTCAGACTATGTCCTCCACACGCACAGGGGTAAATGTTCACACGACCTGGGTTAAGTGTTTACTGTAATCTGAGAGACAAAGAATGTATAAAGCATCTAAAAGTTGCCTACGATGCCACCCCCGAGGGACCTGATGACATCATTTTAAAATGTTTACTTTGGGCTTTTCCCAAGTATGATTCATACGTTTCTCTCACATCTGGGTTGTAGCTTGCTTTTTCACGTTATATGGGGAGCATTTTCCTTGTCATTAAGATTATTTGTAAACACCACCGTTAATGACCGCGTGACATTCCACTTTGTGGACGTAGCCTCCTGGGCGG